CACCCAGTGTATGCCATTCAGGACCGGGGACGATTGAGGAAAGACACGTTGGATCAAAGGGATGCCAGAGTCTGCGGTGCCGCCGGTGTGGCCAGTGCGGCCGGGCCCACGTGTGATCACAGGCTCCCTGGTAGTTGTTTGATGCCGGTTCTGGTGAGGCGGGTTATAGGAACTCATGCCTTTCCCAGAGCTGAGCTAAATGCTAGAAGGTGAGTCTTTAGTTCCCCCTACTGGACAATATTAGGAAAGACTTTCTCTTTGATGAGGCCCTTTGAGGTTCTTGGAGGAAGAACCTTTTGTTTGGTGGATACATTTTGGTGTTGCCACTTAATTTAGCTCTCCCTTGCCTATTGTGTACCTGATATTGTGTATTAAAAAAAAAAAAAATGGCCAGCTACCTTGGAGCACTCAGGAGAGTTCTTATGGCACCTCAGCATGCTTGAAAATTACGGCAATGAAACAGTCCTCCAAAAGAATCAAACAAGCCATTCTTCTTGTGAAGCATTAAGAGTAATTTCACCACACTTTTGATTATTCAGTTATGGAAAACAAAAACAAAAAACCGTGCATTAGTGTGCTGAATGAAGTTAAATCACTTGAATTTCCACAGCAATATTCCTGAATGTATTGTTTTGTCACTATGAAAAAACAACTAAAGTTCATATGCTTAATTTTTTCTTCAAAGGACCAAATTTAAGTTAATGCCATGGTCTCAAAAACAAAACAAAAACAAAACCCAAATTCATTGGATTAAAATTTTCTTACCTATCTGTAATACTGGAAAATAACTGATAATTTGTTAAAACGTTCATTTTAAACATTCTGATTAGGTCCAGGGATAACAAAGTCTACCTTATTCCTTTAAATAATGTACCACCACACCCCAATCTCTATCTGTCAAATTTCCTTAGAAGTCTGCATTAAAAATATTCTGAAAATAGTCTTCCTAATAAAGTAATGCAGAAATTAACAAATCATTGACTATAAAATCACTTAGAGTCAGAAAGTGTTATGTGTGGGAAGTAGGGGCACTAGGTTGGAGGAGAATGACCTACCAAATGTTGCCCTAGGGCAGAAAAATGCTGTCTCATGTACTACAGTTGTTCTTATGTAGAGTATGACAAGTGACCCCCAAAAAAAGTTTATTTAAGAGGCATCTCTTTGGTTATACTATTTATTTGGTATTTGGGGCCAAGCATCATCAGTTTCCTACTTTACCTACTAAAAGTAACAAAGAACACCACTGATTTCAATCTGGTGCCACCTTTTCTCCATGTATTACCTACATTATGTAACAACCAGAGGCCCGGTGCACAAAATTCATGCACGGGTAGGGTCCCTAGGCCTGGCTGGCGATCAGGGCCAATCTGTAGGGCAACTGGCGGGGCGATCTGGGGGCCCCCGCTGGCACCCGCCTTGGCTGACCTGGGGCCTGCAGGCGGTGGGCAGCCCCCTGGTGCACATCAGTTGTTCCACCGTTCAGTTGATTTACATATTATGCTTTTATTACACAGAATATCTATAGCAAAGATAATTTGGAGTTTATGTTCTATGCTTTTCTTGAAAATAAGTTTATAAATGATGTTTAAAAATACTTTGGCCCTGGATGGTATTTCTAAGTAGTTAGAGCATCAGACCACCCCTGGAGGGTCTCAGGTTCAATTCCCAGTCAAGGGCATGTATCTGGGTTGCAGGTTCCATTCCCAGCCTAGCGGGGTGCATGCTGAAGGCCTCCAATCCATGTGTCTCTCTCACATGGATGTTTCTCTCTTTCTCCCCCTCTCTCCCTCCCTTCCACTCTCTGTAAAAAAGCAATGGGAAGAATGTCATTGGGTGAGAATTAACAAAACAAATAAATAAATAAACAAAAAATAATTGGTAACTGTCTCATTTGATATAAAATGTCATATCAGTTCAAGGAAAACTGATGATTTTATAAGAATCTCATACTAAGTGATAGTTTAAGATTCTGACCAAACTCTAACACTAAGTCAGCAACAATAACAGTACTAGGAAGAGTCAACAGAAATGTAATATGACATTAAGTCCAAGGGAAACAATTTCTGGGAGATTCATAAGATGTGTATAGAGAAATATGTATTTTTTAACTAAATTGAACAAACTTTTTTGAGCATTGTTTATGGAACAAATGAATTTCTCACTCTAAGTTTTTCTGTTTAAAAAAATCCTTAAAATCTGAACATTGTAGTAGAAGTTCAAAATTCAATCTTAGCAGTGCTTTAGCGTAAACATTTTGTTTAGGTTTTCATGAAGACAAAAGGCCAGAAACGGCTCAGAGTAGTGAAGCCCCACCCTGGCCTAATCACATGGTTTAAGAAAGAGAAAACTAAATGGGCAGTTGGCTTCAATATTTTCCATATTATAAATTATGTTTTCTTCTTTAAACAAGTCACCAAATAGGGAGATCTACATGGAAATCTAAGTTTATTTTATGTATTGGTATTATGTGCTCAAAATGTGCCTACCAGATAAATGTATATTTTAATTCATCTGAAGGTGACTGTGTGTAAGAGATTATAATTAACCCTAATTTGGGGAAGGTGGTTAAGTGGCCTTCTTTATGATAACACTTCTGAATTGGCATTCCTGGAGAACCAAAAAAATATCATCTGAAGACAATCTTCACAATATTGGATATTAATTTTCCATACCATATTCCCCAAGGATGTAGTATAAATCAAGCAACCCAGTCCACCATTTTTGTTCTTTCTAACATGCTCTCTTAACTGAAGGTGATTAATCAAAGGTTTGGTCCATGATAATTTAATATCTACTACCACTTACTATATTTCAGGGGTTGTTTTGGTTTTTAAAGAAATTCATTATATCATTTGATTCCTGTAAGAGCCTTATGTGATTGATATTATTCCTATTGTACAGATGAGAATACTAGAGGTTAGATATCTAACCCAAGTTAATAAAATATGCAATCTTCCTTTGAATCCAAATCTGACCACATAATCCATGTTCCTAAATGTCAGGCTATCTTCCACATTGTAAAAGTACTGTAACACTCTAATGAATCACTTTGATTGATCAATTTAAGGAAACTCCTGAAAAAGCAAAATATACAGAAATATTTGATCAGTTTTTGTTTTCAAAATTGAAGAATCTTTTAAAGCCCCCAAACCATCACTTATTATCTGTTCAGTTTGAATTTTCCAGTAAGATTGCCTTACCATACTACATAGAAACACCATAATGACAACAGATTTAGATGAAATGTATGGGTCATTATCTACAAAGGACACAGGACAATAAAAATAAGTGAAGCATTAACAATTCAGATCAGAGGAGGATGAGTCATTCCCTCCTAGGTATTTTTTTATTTTTTTTAATTACACTCCACCTTGTTCCAAAAACTATTTGAGTGAGCCAAGATAAACTGCATATTGTTCTTTTGAAATATGTTCTAAATATCTTATTTCAATCAACTCATTTCCAAGTATTCATTTAATACTTTTCTCTGTGTAATAAGTATGCCTATAAATGTACCTACCTATGATTAGTACCTTCGGTACATTACCTGGAGTTATTAAAATATTTTATTTGTAGAGATCTGAGATTTAAGTTGACTAAAATGTAACAATCTTTCACAAAAATAAAGTAATTTTGGCCAAATTCCATCACTTGTGGTCAAAAGGATTTTTTTTTC